AAATATAATTTCAGTGTCAGCTGCGTGTCCCCATAGCAAAATACCATACGACATTATGCTATGGAAATAGCTAAAGTAAACTAGTCTAGCTGTTTCAACACTGGTTAGACTTCTAATCTTTTTTACAGCATATGCTGCAGAACTAAGTCTGCTTGCTAGTTTTGATATATGGGGGCTCCATTGAAGCTTCGCGTCTAGTGTGATTCCAAGAAAAATGGTGGTATCTACAAGACTCAGTTTCTCCCCATTTAAAATTACATTAGTATTTAATTGTTTGATATTTGGAGTCACGAATTTCATACATTTCGTTTTAGTGCCATTTAAATGCAAATTATTAACATCGAACCGATTTACTAATTTAGATATAGCATTATTTACTTCGTCATATTTTAGTAATTGTCGACTTAATTTGAAAATTAAAGAAGTGTCATCTGCAAATAATACTATATCATGGTTATCCTCTACTATGTAAGGTAAGTCATTAATGTATACAAGAAACAGAAAGGGGCCGAGAATTGAGCCTTGAGGTACGCCCATTTGTACCATCGATCCGGAAGAGCTCATATTGTTAATGACAACTTTTTGCGTTCTCTTACTTAAATATGAAATAATAAATTTAAGAGCATCACTTCTTACACCGTAGTGTTGAAGTTTCCTGATTAATGTTTCATGGTGAACACAATCGAAGGCCTTGGCTAGGTCACAAAATATACCCAAAGCATCCTGTGAATTCTCCCCATGCATTAAAGATATATTTAATCAGCTCAACACCGGCATCAGTTGTCGAGCGACCCCTTGTGAAACCAAATTGATTTTTATGAAGTAAATTATTTTTATTAAAAATATTTAACATTTGATCAAGAACAATTTTTTCAAAAATCTTAATAAGTGTTGGTAGTACAGAAATAGGTCTAAAATTGGCGGGGTCTAATGTACTACCAGATTTAAATAAAGGTATTACTTTACTATGCTTCATTAAATCAGGAAACACACCAGATTCGATACTAGTATTAAAAATAATAGCTAAATGAGGCGCGATTGTATCTATTATAGACGCAATAACTTTAACGGAAATCCCCCACAGATCCTTTACTCAGTTTTCTTAACATCAATAGATTTAAAATATTTTACAATATCTTTTGATGACACTTTATGAAATGTAAAATTCTTTGTACACACATTTTCATTTTGTTTAAGTAATGATTCGGCGACGGCAGGAGAAGAATTCAGTGACTTAGTGGTCAAGATCGGAATATCAGTAAAATATTTCTCAAAAACCATTGCTACGTCCTGATCTGATACAGTTAATTTGTTGTTAACACTTAACTGGTAATTTGAATTGCGAGAGTTGATCTTACCAGTTTCGCTATTAATTTTACTCCATGTCATTTTAATTTTATTGGAAGCCGTCTTAATTTTGTTGCTCAAATGCAAAGACTTGGCTATGGAGCACACTCTTTTAAATATTTTTGAATATTTTTTTACATATTCCCTAAATTCGACGCTATGATTATATGACCTTTCGTGGTAAAGGTCATATAACCTATGCCTGCTCTTATGGACTCCTACTGTCGCCCATTCATTAAATGACTTCCGACTGTTCAAGGAGAATGTTTTAGAAGTAAAAGTATTATTAAATTCATTGCAAATAAGCTTAAATAATGTTCCATACAAAAAATTAGGATCATTTTGGTATGAAAGTGATGGAAGTTTTTTCACTATGTTACTTCTTAATTTCTCCAAGCGACGTGCATTTACTGGAACAGACACAACTTTCTCATCTACTTGCTTTTTATGAACATAAGGTAACGAAACTACTTGTCCACAGTGATCAGAACTTAATTTTTGAATTATACATTTATGCAACGGCTTCACATTTGTAAAAATTTTATCAATACATGTTGCACTAGATTGAGAAATACGCGTTGGCTCTATAAATAAATTAAAAAGACCATATGATTTAAACAATGATCTAAATTTAATATTGATTGAGGAAGCTTCTAGGAGATTGATATTAAAGTCTCCACATATAACAACAGATTTATTCTGTTTATTAAGCTTAGCAAAAATTTCCTCCATAATGTTTTCAAAAGTATCATATGTACAACATGGGGGTCTGTAGACGCTCACAACAATGAGGTGCTTAAACTCAACACATGCCATTTCTACAGTTCTCTCAACAGAGAGGCTCACAATGTCTTTACGTTCTTTACATGATAATAATTTACTAGCTAATATTAAGGAGTCACCTCTTAAAACCGTATCTCTATTGAAAGAACTGACCACCTGGTGATTACTGAAGTTAAACATTAAATTATAAGCTTTTAACCAATGTTCAGTAATACATAAAATATGAATATTGTTGCTATTTAAGAACAACTCAATTTCTAGCTCTTTTCCTATCATGCCTTGTAAATTTTGATGCACCAGGTGTAAACAATTTTCATTATCTTTCTGTGGAGTCATACAATTAAAGATTTGTAAGCCACATTCTAAATTATTTAAGTTATTATAACTGCTAGAGAGTACCTCTATTGTCTCATTTTCTAATTTAAATTACTTGGAACTGATTCCAAATTGCATATTAAGTCATTACACTGCTCAAAAGAAGCAGATGTCTGTGTAGCCAAGTCGTTGGCTGAGTTAATATATAAATAATAAGATAGCACGCTTGCTATCTGTCTTAAATTATATTTTGATAGGTAATACCTATCTCTAGTCAAAAATTTCTTAATTAAATTATTTATATCTATTAAATTAATTCTATCATTATAATTAACATGAAAAGTTATTCATTAATAAATTTAAATCATATCTTATTTTATTTTCCTGCGGCCAACCCTGTATGTAAGGCAATGTAAACAAGATAATTTTATGTACATTTAAAGTATTTAGATTATCAATATATTTTAATAATTGATTTTTGTTTACATTGCCTCTTCTCCCAACAAGAATTATAAATGTGCTATTAGGACAAAATTTACTAGCTAAAACTTTATTCATTATATGACTAAAGGATGCTCCAGGCATGCAATAATTAGTGATCATATGTCCTTTTAAACAATTATTTAATATCATGTCCAAATTTTTGCCTATGTCATCACAATACATAATAACTTTATTTTTTTAAATTTACATTGCTTTTTAAGTTCATATCCTTTGTCATGGCACTGTCATAGAGTGTAGGTGAAAATAATGAGGTCTTACTGTTAACTTTGTTATTTACACATATTGTCCCCGATGAGCCCGGTAAGGAGCGCTGATACTCACTCTGATTTTTTATTAAGGAGTCAAAGCGCTCCTCATTATATTTACATGATTTTACCAGATCATTCATGGTTAATATGTGTTCTTTTATCTCATCTTGAGCCGATGCATATTTATTTGATACAATTTGTAGAGAGCTTTTACGTGATAAAATTATTGACTTTAGACACTCTATATCAGTCTCATAACAGTGATTCATATTTTCCACCTCAATTGAATATATTTTAAGTTTATTAATTAGTTCTTGCTTTTCTTTGCATACATTTATATAATTTTTAACATTAATTTTAGTTTTAATTAATTTTTGTACTTTTCTAATATATTTATTAATTTTTATATATTTCTTTAATTTTCTTCTACTGCAGGTAGTACTTGCTGCTGTTCTTGATATGACATAATCATCACCAGTCAAATCGATTGTTGTGGAGGGTTGCAATGCTTTAGATTTAGTAGATTCACACTCTAAGAGCTCGTTGAACAGACTTTGAGTTTGGGACGCTTTCATGTTATCTATGTAATGTTTTAATTGCACAGTCTGCTCATTAGCCTCACTTAACTGTAACTGCAATGCAGCAATTAATTTGAGGGATTCCTCATATTCCTTGCTGCATTGGTCAAACTCATCGACTGTTCTCTGAAGTTGATCCTTTTCTTTTCTAACAAATGTATATTCTTTATGCAACTTAACCATGTCACTTTTTAGTTTAGTATTTTTAGCAATTATATTTATTATTTCCTTTTCATTGTCATCCCTTTCTTTAATTAACAGCTCACACTGCTCCTTTGACGCCTTAAGTTCTTGAAGTGCCATTTGAAGTTGGTTCTCCAATTGGCGCGTTTTGGCGTTGCGTGTATTCATTTTACTATTAAATGTAAATAGCAAAAGAAAACAAAGAAAGAAAACCAAAGAAGCAGAATAAGCAAATGTCGAGATGTATGGGATTATTTACAGATCTCAAATTAAATTATCATGTAAATAATTCAAAATTAAATCCACAACAACACTTAATAGGTAAATCATAAAATGTTAAAGGGATAACAAGAATTACACTTACAATACGTTTAAACGATGTTCGTTACAGCTGTTACTTTTGGTTGGAACAGTAAACACAATGTATGTAATTAAAATAGGTACTTCTGACTTTTACTTATATCACAAACACAAATAAGTCGTATTTAACAACTGTAACTGAAAATCGAGGTGGATATTATTAATTTACAATATTTAATTTTTTAAAATAGTTGGGAGCAATTATTTTACAACTTGTCACCGGGGTTGCCACCGACACACGACAAATAACCTAACAGTCTACCCAAATGTAAGTGCAGGGACTTTATTTATTTATTTATTTATTCTTTATTGCATTCCTTAATCTAAAAGAATACAAAGAGCGGACTTAATGCCATGTGGCATTCTCTACCAGTCAACTCTGGAGTGTTGAGAATTTGAAGTAGGTGTAGCAATATAGAATAACCCTTAACCAGGCAACAAGGGTTTTATTGAGTGATATTTGTAAAATTTAGGAATTTGTTTAAATAAAAATAAAGAAACAAAACCATGATTTTTTTAATTACATTTATTTTATTTTTTTTATAAAAAAGCCTGTGGTCCATATAAGTACCTTACCCTGTGTGGTAAACATGTTGTGGTCTCTATTGGTACCTTACCCTGAATCAATAGTAAAATTAAATTTCTTGAGTATTTATTTATTTTCTTTATTTGGATGAACATGTTACAAATTATGAGGCACATAGGGTAAATGAAACCTTTCAAAACATGGTGATATGCATAGTGGAACTTTGCATGAACTGCACTCTATTTTAGACCGCTTGGGATTAGTTCTAGTGCTGCAGAAACGGCAACGCCGTTTAGTTCCAGCTCGTGGCATGTGTACACCGACTTTGGCCAGTCGCACCTCATCCGAAATTTTGTAGACACCTCCTTTCTTATTTTTTAATATGGTGGAACATGCCTTGCGGGAACTAAAGTTGTTGACTAGGCCCCTGGCAACACGTAAACGAAATTGGCGATGACTACTATTGCGCATGACGTGGCCCTGGCTGTAGAGTATGTAGGCATTTATAAGAGCAGCTTCAAACAGGAACCAAAACAGGCGGAACCAGCTTTTCTTTGACTTGCGGCCTATAGAGTAAGAGCTCCTGAAGTGGTCAAAGCGATCAACTCCCCCCATATTTTTTACGTATTCTACAATGGCCAAAGGACAAAACATGTTTTTTTTTGTTCCATCTTTCTGTTTGCGTTTTATGATTTGTACCCTTTTTGGATCAAATGCAGTAGTAGCAACATACACATCTTTAGTATCCATCCATTTGATTACTGATATAGGAGCAGCATGTTGAAACATAAATTCTCCTGGTTTTAGGCACATTTGGTCTCTTGTTCCCCTCTTTACAGTTATTTCAGCTGGAAGGCCTTTTCGGTTGACTCGGATTGTACCCACAGCATATATATTTTTGTGATGGAGCATCTCCAGAAGAGGCAAACTAGTAAAAAAATTATCGAATGCCATTAATGTGTATGGTTGGACATTTCTACATAGATCCATTACCACTCTGTATCCAAGACCACCAGAATTTTCATCTGTTGAAGTGGCCTTACCTGTGTAAATATCAAATGAGTATAGGTATCCAGACTCAGAGTCACAGCGTGCCCAAATTTTGTACCCTCGTTTGATTGGTTTGTTTGGCATGTACTGTTTCATGCTACTTCGACCCTTGAACTTTACCATGCTCTCATCTATGCTTTGTGATGAAGATTGAGTACACATGCTTGAAAAATTATGGTTTAGAATTCCAATCAATGGTCTGATTTTAGCTAATTTATCATAATTTGAATCACTGCGTTCCAATTCAGTGTTTGGGTTGTTCACATGAAAGTTTTCTATTAGTTTTTTGTAACGTTTTAGGGTCATCACTCGGCTAATTACTGGGTTATTGTAAAAATCATCAGTGGACCAATAAAGCTCAACATCAGTCAATGGATTTAAGCCCATCATTATAATAACACCAAGCAAGGCACGCATTTCTTCATTATTTGTTTCTACCCAGTTTCTTGATTGATTTTTTATAGCATATAGATTAGTATTTTCCACCAGAATATCAATTATGTTTGATGTAAACATGTGTTCAAAGTAATCTATAGGCAAATGTCTGTTATTATAAGAAGTGGTAGGTCTAGCTTTAGTTTCAAAGACTGGAAATGCTTGATTTTCAATATTAGTTGACCAAGATCTGTCTTTTTGGATCAATTGAGTATAGGTGACAATATCACTAACTGGAGGAGATAATGGATGAACTGGAGATGGTGGTTGAACTGGATATGATGGTTGAACTAGAGATGGTGGTCGAAACGGAGATGGTTGTCGAACTGGAGATGATGGTTGAACTGGAGATGGTGGTGCAACAAAAATATTGGCAACTGTGCTAGTTGGTGTATTATAACCTTCAATCCCCAGGTTCTCAGGTTGTATTATTTGACTTTCTTGACCTGTTTCAGTTACAGGCTCAGCAGAGGAATGAGATGATGCTTCGTTTTTATTACTAAGTATATCTAGGAGCTCTTCAGTAGTGATATTTTGTATCCTATCTAGCCTTTTATTCAAGATGTCAGAAAAATCTTCATTTAATTCATCATCGTCAGTATCCTCACCTTCTGATGACAACAGGCTTTGAAGATGAGCTTCAATATCTTTGTCTTTCAGCGGCATGGGCTAAAAAACAAGAAAACTCATCAAAATATGTCTTACAAATCGAGGTGCGTAATGGACAATGATCATATATGGACCACATAATTCAAGCAATCGTTACAATAATAAAAATAATGTTAACGATAAACAAAATACATTTAGATTGTGTAAAAACTCTCAAATATATGTTACTGAACACCAAACAATACTTACTGGATTTTTTTTAGGCATTTTCTACAATTTACTGCAACTAACACACAAAAACAATCATCTGTTGATCAAAAGTGAGAAATGTCAAATATTTTTTTCTTTTTTGTCTCTTAGGTGAGTTTCAATTTACTCCAACTGCTTTCAAGTCATAAAAAATATTATTGTCTATGACTGTTTGACATATTGTGGTCCTTAACTACATCTTGCCCTTTAAAATCACCCAAAAACTTAAGTGGTCCTCTATAGTACTTTGCCTGGTTAAGGGATAAAAAGAAAATAGAAATGTATAATTAATTACGTTATATATACATTTTACTATTATATACAATAAATAAACTATAAAAATATATCCTATTTATACATGTATACAAATATATACGTACATACATAAGCATACATATATTCATACCAACATACATATACAAATAATACATATAAATAACTATAAATATATACGTCTAAAATATAAATGACATGGATGATTCATCTAAAAAGCGTTGTCTTTAACAGATGATTACGCACCAACTTTTTAAAAGCAAACTTATTGGGAGCTTTTCTGATGTCGTCAGGCAAGGAGTTCCAAAGGCGTGCAGCCTGAACTGTAAAAGAGTTACCATAGAACTCGGTGAAGTGAACTGGAATACATATTTTGTTGTTAGAAGACGAACGTAGGGACTTGAAGACTAAAGTGGAACGACTTAGTCTGTAGTTATACTGGATAAGTATAGATATATAGATAGATATTCAGACCGGATACGACATTGTAGACACTGTAACTTAGTGGCAGAAATACGCAAGGGCGATGTACTTACCCAGACTGAGAGAAAAGGAGTCATACCATCCACAAATATTGTAAATAATAATAGAACACTGATTTACTGTGATACACGTTGACAATTTCACCAGACACGGAAATGTCGGTATACATTTAATTTAATAATTAATTATGGTGATGATGACGTTGTGTTGCTTAGTATCAAGCACGACAAGAAAGTACGAAAACTGTCGAGATTTTTCACCTTAGCAGGAGATATTATAGTGCCAAAATTGCACGCACGAACTCATTTCTAAGATACAGGATCAGACACACGGGGATAGTAATAACTTTTACACAAGTCTCCGTTTCAATTGCGATTCGAACTCAGGACTTTTAACTTGATGGTGGTTAGGTACCAGTACGCTATTGTCTAACTATTTATTGAAAAAATTACCTATCAAAATGTTCAAACTTACGACCTTTAAGAACAATAATGATTTTGAAAAGAAATTTACTTTCCAAACACACGATTGAACATGATTGTGTTTGCTCGGAAAATTTGTTTCCTTTGTCTTCGCTCTTTAAGTTCTGGAATCGATTTTATTTTTTATTCGCAAGCAAGTGAAATAGAACATTTGTAATTTTGGTTTTCTATAACTTACCTTCTCTCCGCATGAAAACGCACTACTAGCATTTCATGTAAAATATAGTAATTTAATTTGAAAAAAAAATTAAAAGTAAAATATAAAGGAAAGTTTCGAAGCGAAAACGAGCGCAGATGAGGCGAGGCATGCGATTTTTTTACACCCGCCCCCGTTTGCACTTGTCTTCACCTTCTTTACAGTGATTCTAATACTTACGTCATATTCTTTTGACAGTTTTTCCTGATCATATTCACTTCACTTCAGCTTACTAATCAGTAAGCCGAAGTAGGAGCAGCGGGACAACCATATAGGTCGAGGTACCAACAACCAATTTGGATAAAAAGTTTTCAAGTGGCAGCGTCGTACCAATAAGCAAAGTGTAAGACATGCCCCTACTAGCGACAGTGACGACCTGGTAAGAGATACAGGAAGTCAATGGATGTAGGAAGCACAGGACTGTACTTTTTAGGGTTTCTTGGGGAGGCCTTTGTATAACTTTGGAGTTGCGATGGGCTGTTGCGATGATGATGGTAATAAATTTTTGTTATTTTATGAACATTATCGCAATTGTGATAAATATTAAATTTGTTTGTACCACATTTTGATTAAGTCACTTTCTTGTTTGTCCAACTGTCTGTCTGTAAAAATTAAAAAAAAAATCACTTGCTCCTATATCAGTCCGCAATAGTTAATAAACAAGTCTGTTCTCCCGTTGTAAATAGGATTTGCATTGACTGTTGTTTAGCAAGCGTATTGACAATCGCAAAACAATGCAAATCCAGTGCAGTAAAGTGCTAAACCACTTTGATGCTATGTATTTTATGATTGGTGTAAACGAGATGGTAATGCCGGCAATGCCGGTAAGATAGATGTCTTAAGAAGAGCCTTTCTGGCATTTTTAGTAGCCTCTTATGACACTGTAATTCAAATTCGTTTTGAAAAATTTTCACGCCTTAGTCTTATTGGAAAAGACAATAAATGCAAAATGTCTTGTTATCATCATCATCATTACAGCCTTTCATAAGTCCACTGCTGAACATAGGCCTCCCCCAAGGAATGCCACAAAGCACGGTCCTGAGCCACCTGCATCCATCGACTTCCTGCATGTCTTACCAGGTCGTCACTCCATCTTGTGAGGGTCGCCCTACACTTCATCTACCGGTACGAGGCTGCCACTCGAGAACCTTTCTTCCCTATCGGTTGTCGGTTCTTCGAGGTATTTGGTCAGCCCACTGCCACTTCAGCTTACTAATCCGTTGGGCTATGTCGGTTACTCTGGTTCTACTGCGGATATCCTCATTTCTAAGTTTATCACGCAGAGAAACCCCAAGCATAGCCCTCTCCATAGCTCGCTGAGCAACCTTGAGCTTCCTTTCCAACCCTGCCTTCATACGGCCAGCAGTGAAGGACCAGGTCTCAGATCCGTAAGTCATCACAGGCAACACGCACTGATTGTACAGTTTCGTTTTCAGGTTTTGAGGTATGTCTAACGAGAAGATGTGTCGTAGTTTCCCGAACGCTGCCCAGCCGAGTTGAATCCGTCGATTGACCTCTCGTTCGAAGTTGGACTTACCTAGTCGGACTGTTTGTCTCAAGTAAACGTACTCGTCAACAACTTCGAGCTTAGTGTTCCCAACAACTACCGGCATAGGTGTGACATGGACGTTAAACATCATCTTTGTTTTGGTGCATGTTCATATTAAGACCTATCCGTTGGGAGACACTATTGAGGTCATTGAGCATGGTGCTTAGGTCCTCCAGCGATACTGCCATAGGGACTATATCGTCGGCAAATCGAAGATGAGTGATGTACTCGCCATTGATGTTAATAACGTATTCTTTCCAGTCCAGTAGCTTGAAAACTTCTTCCAATGCAGCGGTGAAGAGTTTCGGGGTTATAACGTCACCCTGTCTTACACCTCTCTGCAGTTGGATTGGTTTCATACTCTGATTCTGTACTCGGATAGCCATCGTAGCTCTACTATACAAACACTTCAGCACTTCGATATACCGACAGTCAACTTGGCACCGCTGAAGGGACTGCAGCACCGCCCAAATTTCGACGGAATCAAAGGCTTTCTCATAGTCCACATACGCAAGCCAAGTGGCAGATTATACTCCTCTGTCTTCTGTACAATCTGACGCAGGGTATGTATGTGGTCTATGGTAGTAAAGCATTTTCAGACACCGGCTTGTTCGGGAGGCTGGAATCATCAAGTCTGCGTGCGAGAAGATTCGTAATGACTCTCGAAAATAGTACGTAGACGCGGCTTAGAAGGAAAATCGGTCTGTAGTTCTTCAAGAGAGCGTTGTCGCCTTTCTTGAAGAACAAGACCACCGCACTTCTGCTCCACGCCTCCGGAGTAGTTGCCACCATGGAGGACGGAATTAAAGAGCTACTGAAGGACTTCAAGTTCCGGTTTTCCACCCGCTTTCAGAACCTCCGCTGTAATTCCATCCTCGCCCGGGGACTTGCCCTTTTTAAGGTTCTGGAGAGCCATTCTAATCTCGCTCAGACTGATGTCCGGGATATATTCGGAATAGTTTTGGATAAGACTCGCTCTTGGATCGTTATTCACACTTGCGTGCGGCTCCAACGATGACGTGTACAGCTGCCCATAGAACCTCTCAATCTCACTTAAAATCTCAGGTGTCCCGGAAACGATGCTGCCACATTCGGTCTTCAGCTTTGACAGTTGGCTCTTTCTGGCAGACAGATCTCTGACAAAGACTTTGGAGCCTTGGTTCCGCTCGATTACTTCTTCAATACAAGCTGTATTGAAGTTGCCTAAGTCCTGCCGCATGCATTTAAAGATATGTCTGTTCAGTTGCCTGTATGCTGTCAAATCTGTTGAAGACTGTAGCTTCATGTTCCGTGTAACAGTCGTGAGATTAAAAGTGTGATGGCAGTTTTTGTGTTCTTCTGCGGCGGGTCTTGCAAAACTTAGCTCAGACCGCATGTACAGTTTCCACGAGCTTGTCATTCAAATCGTCCACTTCATTGCAGTCTTCTAGGCACTGAAAACGGTTTTGTAACTCGAGCTGAAAGGTTTTGCAAATTTGGAACAGAGCACGAGGGGGACGGAGCATTGACTTCATTAGACGAGACCTCTCCAACTTAACGTTTAGGTTCAGTGTGCCTCTAACGTCTTGTAGTTTTGGATAATATACAACGTGTCCCAAAATTCAACGATAAGCCAACACCGGAGGATAGACCTGCCCCGGACTAATCGGGTAAAAAAAGAAAAAAAAATATATCCCGATTATATTTTAAGTTATAAAAAAAAATTAAATTCTTCAGAAATTGAGACCGTTTATGATATTTTTCACTACCATGACCACAATTTTTTAAATATTTTTTTCTTTTTTTTTTATATGCAACCTGAATAGTACTGCTATCTACCACAATT